AGGGAGCAGCTGGTGAGCTTGAACCACGGACCTTGTGGTTCAAAACAAATTTGCAGCCCAGTGAATTAACCCATAGTGCCACACCAATATCAATACCCTACCTAAAAAAACCTTTAGAATCTGGCTATTAAATGATATGATTCTAAATAATTCATGGATCAAAGACAAGATGACAGGATAAGCTAGTGATTTAACTAAACAACAATAAAAAGACAACACACATACATCTGGGCGATGCAGCTAAAGTAGTGCTTAGAGTGGAACTGATAACTTTAAAAGTACATATTAAGTTAGACTAAAAATCTAAAATCAATGACCTAAGATTTCACCTTAAGAAGCTAGAAAAAGGATAAAATAAGCCTGAAGTAAGTAGGAAAAAAGAAATAAAGATAAGACAGAAGATAATGAAGATATGAGCAGAGATCAAAGAAACAGAACACAGACACTAAAGAAAATTATAAAACGCTAACACTGATTCTTTGAAAATAGGAACAAAATTGACAAATCCTTTCGTAGCAGCTTTCCATCTGATTCCTTGCTCTCCGGAGTACTTTCCCCACCCAGCTCACATTTAGCTACCAGGTCTTTGAAACGCTTTGGGCTTGTGGCTGCCCTCTGAAGACTGTTCCTGAGATCTGCTCCCTAGCGCACAGACATTACAAGCACTGCTTCATCCAGCTTTCACTCCCCACTCGCTGCTGGACGACTTGGGAGATGGAGTCAATCCCTCCTAGTTCTGGCCAATCAGGGAACAAGCCTGGATAATAAATTCTATGTTGGGCATTGAGTTTCAGGTTCTCGGAAGCATCCAGGTTGAGATACAGATGACAGCTGAAAATAGTGATCTGAGGCTCAGAAACGAGACGCATCGGGAAAGAGATTTATGATCACTGGCAAATAGGTTGTCATCAAAGCCTTCTCAGCAGATGGCCTTGATCAAGGAGATTATCCGACAGAAATCCTTAATCTGATGATCTTCAGAGGTGTCTGAATCCATATGAATTGTGGGTGAAATGCTATGAACGTATATGCCCAGGTTTCTGAGGTGGGAATTCATAAGGTTCATAAGATTCTCAAATAGGTCTGTGAGTCTTACAAGGTTAAGAAACTACGGGGGAGAGAGAAGGCAGAGGGTTTAACTGAGAGGGCACTGTTGGCATTATTAGTTGCCCTCATGGCAACCCCACGTGTGCAGAACCGAACTGATGAGAGCATTCTTGTGGCTCTGGCCTTGCAGAAGCAGACTGCCAAGTCGTCCTCTGAAGTGCCTCTGGGTGGGTTTGAACCATCAAGCTTTCACTTTAAACAGCCAAGCATTTAGCCATTTGTACCACCCAGGATCTATTGACCAAAGTATGCTCTAAATATGGATTAGAGACTTCGGTAGGAGAGGGTAAGGAATATGTTAGCATTTTGTTTCTAAATTACCATCTGAGTTTGAGCAACCATCAAGCACATAACTTTCTACTCAAAATTGGAAAAACAGCCACAGAATGTGCTGACTCAGGCACCACAACGTCTAGACTGTCCAGAATTGTACAAAAAGCAGCGCTTTTTAGGCTTAGAACTCTGGCTTCTATAATCCAGTCAATGGGTGATTTTTTTTCTCCCACTCTGACTCCATGGTGAAGGGGACCATTTCCCCAGTCACCTCTCTGAAGTCCACTGCATGTCATAGCTGACAACTGATGAACCCTTTCTAGTATAACGTTATGAAACTCTATGAATCCTGTAATATACATATCACCAATGCCAACCGAGTATGTTGGCATCTGAAATTTTACAGGCAAAAAACACTTGAAAGACACATAGGACTTGGTTTTCAAGAAGCTCTATGAAATTCAACCCCACAAAACAAGAATGTCAGCTTTATCACAAGTGGCTCAAAAAACACAATTTTGGTTCATGTTTTATCTTTTCTTCCTTAAAACTATTTGTCACTTTAGGGACAGAGAGAGGAAAAAAGGGTGGGGTTTTTTGTTGCTGTTTTCATTCGTTGTGCATTTTAAAACCCTTTCAAAAACCACAGGCATGTATGAAATAAATTCTTCAGTCACATAAATTTAAACCCCAGTGTTCTTCCCAACCTACCACCTGGGAAAGCCAAGTGGTAGCTAGCCAAGCCAACTTGCATGTAAGGAAACTATAATGCCTGCTGTCTGGGAAACCTCAAACTATAACGCCTGCTGTCTGGGAAACCTCAAACTATAACGCCTGCTGTCTGGGAAACCTCAAACTATAATGCCTGCTGTCTGGGAAACCTCAAACTACATCTATCTAGGATTATAAAAGCCCTTTTAGTATCATGCAAAGGAGAAAGCTATAAATTATCAATTACCAAAGATTAATTACCAAGCACTATTGGCGCTGTGGGTTAATACGCTGGATTGCAACGTCGGTTTGAACCACAATGTCAGTGATTCAAGCTAACCAGCCATTCCTCGGAAACCCTGTATAGGGTCACTATGGGTCAGAACCGATTCGACGGCACTTAACAACAACAACATACAAGTATGGTCGAGTCCTGGTGTGGCACTGTAGGATAAGCACTAGACCACAAGATCAATTTGAACTATAAGGTGGTGGTTCAAAGCGACCAGCTGCTCCTCGGAAACCCTATATGATGAGGTTGCTATGAGTTAGAATTGACTCGATGGCACTTAGTAACAACTTACAAGTCCTAAGCTAAACTGATGTATATCTCATGTTTAGAAAATGCAGTTAATAAAACTTTAAAAAATTTTAAGAAATAGTTTATGAAATAATACATAGACTTAAGAACTGAAAATGTTCAGTTACATTAATCACAAGAGACCTACAGTAAAACTAGCAAAAAAAATCAAAAGGAAAACACTTATATCATGCTGGTCAGGGGGTAGTACACAGCCCCGCGATTGGTTCCACTGGTAAAATAGCACGGGCAGCTCAAACATTTTAAATAAGCAATTATCAATGTATATACAGCAATGTTTAACAAGTTTCAGATAACCTAATGTGGTGTAGTTCCGATTCTATTACGGAACCTTAAAACAAAAAAACTAAACCTAAAATATAGTACGTACCATGATGTTCACTGCAGCACAATCTATCATAGTAAGAACTGTATAAAACCAAAGAAAAATGGTAAAATGAATTGTAGAAAATCTACTCGGGAAAAGTCATATTCATTCATTAATTTATTACTGCATTTCCAAAAGAATTTAAGATACAAGATTCAGAACCAAAAATGATGATTACAAAGAGCATGCAAAACGGGCAAGAACTAACGAAAAGTGAAAGGGAAGGTTGGATACAAAACTGTACACATACAGATTTGATTGCAAGATCTTAAACAAAATGCAGAGAAGGGGGGGAATACATCCAAGTATTAAGAATGCTATGTGTCAAAGTGACAACAGGTGATTTCTGCTCTTGTATCTTTTTCAATCTATGTAAGTTTCAACATAGTGAGCTTGTATTTGATAATGAAATGTTTAGAGAGAAGAGAGATCATTTTAAAAATGTGTCTTTATGTCTAAAGGTTCACAAGAGGCTAAATCTTCATACAGATAACCTTACTGAGAAACTGAAAAGGAGGAATGAAGGTTGTATCTGAGAGAAAGGAACCAACTGAAAGGCAGAATGGATAGAACTGGTATTATCAGATTCTGGGGAACGAAGACACTAAAGACATACAGCGATACCCGAGAAAACCCTACACAGGCTCCCTATGAGTCAGAACCAACTTGGCAGAACTGAACCAACCACCTGTGAACTTACACTAACATAGCAACCTCATTTATGAAACATGGGCAGACCTCAGAGCTCTGCAATGAAGCAATGACCACAATGAAGCGAGTCCTGTGAATGTCTTGGGTTCCCAGTGCATAGAACAGTGATGTTGATCCTAGACTGTAGGCGGTAAGTGTGCACCAGCATGAAAAAGTCTGAGATATTATGAGAATGACCAAAACGTGCACTGAGACATAAAGTGAGCACGTGCTGTTGGCAGAATGGCACCCACAGACAGACTTGCCAGAAAACTTCCATTTGTAAAGAAAAAAAAAGAAAAGAAGGGGCAATATCTGCGAGGTCAACACAGCAAAGAGCAACAAAATGAGGCACACCTGTATCTTCAGCTTGTAAAGTATGTGGGGGCTTCATAAAGTTCATAGGCAAATAGCATGGAAAGACAATGGGAGGGGGCTTCCACAAGTTTATGGTGAAATTTCACAATCTTTCCATACCATTTTTCTTACGAATTTTCTGAAGCGCCCTCAGCTATTCAGATTAGTTCCTTGAGTTTTCAGCTTTCTGCAACAAAACTATTGACCGACGTGACAACCATTTATTAAAAGAAAAACGGAATTCACTTTCATAGCTATTTTCCCTCAATCAGAGGGCTTGTTGATTCTGTGTGTTGATTCTAATAACGCAGCTCATGTTTAGCTTTCCAAACCAGGACTCATGTCTCATCTAAACAAAGACTACCAGTATAGTAACCACTAGATTTAAAGACAGGAGAAACACTGAAGTAAATGAGATCACTAATAATTTGGATGTCTGTGCCAATTGGGAGCACAGTGGCTCCACAAGATAAGCACTAGACTGTGAACCATAAGGTTCGAAGTTTGAGCCTGCCAGCCGCTCCATGGAAGAGAGATGAGGCTTTCTCCTCCTATGAAGATTTAAAGCCTTGGAAACCCTATTCAGGGTTGTTATGAGTCAGAATTTACTAGCCCGCACTTAACAACAACAATACAAATTAGTGATAACCCGCTCTGAGAATAAATCTCAACAGTGAGTATCACTCCCAGAATCTCGACAAAACTCATCCAAAGAGTTGTTGGGAAGTGCCACAATTATCCTTAAAATGCAGTGGGAGACTTCCTCTAATAAAGTGTTCTACAAAGAGAATTTTAAATTATTGCATCACTGCACAGGCAAGACACAAAGTAAGAAGGGTCTTTTCGGGGCGCCAATGGCACACCCAGTTTTCTCAGTCAATCTGAAAAACTCACTTACCCTTCTCGTGTTTTCCAGGATCTTGGGATCGGGTTTTCCGTAGTTCGGTGGGTTGGCATACGGGTCGTAGCCAAGTTTGGCAAGCATGGGTGCAATCACAGCCATGTCTTGCAGGACGTCTGGAGGGATCTTCCCGACCCATTTGGACAGCGCTCCCACATTGACTGGCTTGATGACTTGGTCTGTCGATCTTTCCACTCTGAAAAAGAAAAGAATGGGGCTAAATAGTTGTTGAGAAGAAGAAGATGACATCAAAAAACAGAAATGATTTTTGATAAGTCAAAAATGTCTAGACTATAGAAGAAAAAGAGTCTGGAAGAGGCTTTACATTTCTTAACCAGGCTTATTTTTTTTTTTTTTTTCAGATTCTGACAGTGATTATTAGCGACCTTAGATTTTTAGAAACAAGAGAGATGAAACAAAAAAAACACTTGCACAAAGGGTGCTAACATTTCAGTTGTAATCTCCATAAAAGAAAAAGAAAAACACTGCTCTAAAAGGTAGCCAACTTACTTGAAATGTATAAAAAAACCAAAACCAATACTGAATAATAAAAAGACAGACTAATACCCAAATCAATCAGATGGATAACCAAATTTAAAACTTGTTGCCATCAGTACAGACTCACAGTAACCTGTGAGGACAGAGCAGAACTACCTAACAGGGTTTCCAAGGCTGCAAGCATTATGGAAGCAGACTGTCCCATTGTTCCCCTGTGGAGAGGCTGCTGGGCTCGAACTGCCAACCTGTGGGTTAGCAACCAGTACTTTACTAGTATATTACCAGGGTTCCTTAACACATGGACAAGTACGTGCTAGAGCAAATACAGCCATATGTTCATTACAGAATCTCAGTGGTGGGTATAATTCTTTTAATTCACTTGCATGATTGAAAATTTTCAAAATATAATATTGACGAAAAAGAGTCAGCCATAAGTCTACTGAAATGCGAGATATTTTTCATGTGACATCATAAAAGACCCTATTTTCTCAGGAAGAATAAGGAACATTGTTTGATGATTTTCAATATTGCAGGATTTATCTAACTTAACGTGCACTGTCTCCTGACTGGAAGTTTACTTTAAGTTGATAGTGATCTAGTCACTAGATTTCACTAGATAACTAGTAACTTAAAGAGGAAATATTGCATCTAAATAGCTGGTTTCCTTGCCAACTATGCATCACTCCACTAGACGGTAAGGCGGATCTTTTACATCTCGGTATCACCAGCATCTAGTATAATAACATCTATTAGACTCTCAATAAATACCTATTACATGAGTAAATGAATGACTAAAAGCTTTTCATGGAAAGAAAACCCTGCATTGGTAGTTTATATAAACATGCTCCAGAGACATTAAAGATCATGCCATGCTAAGGAGAACCTATCTATTTGACACATAAGATGAAACCACTGGACAGTATCCAAGTGCTAGAAGGCACAGTACTTACTGTGATGCTCTGGGAGTCTTTGAGAACAGCAGAAACATGGGGGGGTGTAGGGGTGGGTGGGGAAGGGAAGCCTTTTAGTAAACAAAGGAGCCTGGTAGCATAGTTGGTTATGTGTTGGGCTGTTAACCAAAAGTTCAGCAGTTTGAATTCACCAGCTGCTCTGGGGAAGAAAGATGAGTCTGTTCCAGTAAAGATTTACAGTCTCGGAAACCCTATCCAGGGTCACCATGAATTGGAACTGCCTAGATGGGACACAGCAATTAGCAGAAGCAAACAAAGACTAATATTTTCTTCTTTTTTTTTTTGAATATTTAAAAAATTTTTTATTCACCCACATGGCAGTCCCTCCATCCCAGAAGGTATTTGATTTACAAAAGCAGATATCCAATTAAAGAAAGAAAGGCATTCATTGTGGTTTTTAAAAATGACAATTCTCACAGCACTGGCAACTACCATTCACTGAGCATTACCATTCCTTACATTGCCTCTTTTTTTCTTAAATGTTTTATTGTAAATTATATGATAGTTTACATGGGAGAACTTTAGTTTTACATTCATTCCATTGTATATGCTCTCATTGCCATGGTTCCAGTCCCCTCCATGCATCATCAACCACCCAAAGGGTATATCCCAGAAACCCGCCCCCTACACTTCTCCCTCCTCCCCGCAGTATTCGGCCCACAGTCCCTTTCTCTCTCTGGGTCCAAAGTCCCCAGTTACTCCATCACTCCACGTCATCATCTCTGTCTCTATCTCAGGCAACTGTTTCTCTGGGTAGGGTCCCGCTCTCGGCTCTTCTCCGTTGATGGTCCCGGAGGCCTC